AAACAAACAAACACATTGTTTAACTTTTTTGAGCAAATTAAAGCTTTTTTTTTTTTTTGAGTTGGGGTCTCACTCTGTCACCCAGTACAGTGGCAGGATCACAGCTCACTGCAGCCTTGACCTCCTGGGTTCAGGTAATCCTTCTATCTCAGCCTTCCAAGTAGCTGGGACTACAGGTGTGCACTGCCATACCTGGCTAATTTTTTTTTTTGGTAGACATGAGCTCTCACTATGTTGCCCAGATGGTCTCGAACACCTGGGCTCAAGTGAGCCTCTCAACTCAGCCTCCCAAAGTGCTGGGATTATAGGCATGAGCCATCATATCCAGCCAGATTTCTATTTTTAAAAGTTTTTCCTTCTGGCTCATTAGTTTATCAGTTTAACTCACAGTCTTGTTTTATTTAATGTGTTATACCTATTATTATAGTAGCTTATTTTGATGTCCCCCTTCTGATTAACGGGAGTTTCCATCATCTTTTGAATACTTCCTTTTTGGCTTAACAAGATCCCAGGTTCATCTTGTACTTTCCTGTTTTGGAGGGGGTCTTTACTTTTTGAAATAGGGGTCTCACTCTGATGCCCAGGCTGGAGTGAAGTGGCATGATCATGACTCACGGCAACTTCGGCTTCCTATAATCATGCAGTCCTTCCATCTCAGGCTCCCAAGTAGCTCAGACTACAAGTGCATGTCACCACATCAGGCTAATTTTTTTAAGATGAAGTCTCACTGTGCTCAGGCAGGTCTCAGTACTCCTAGGCTCGAGCAATCCTCTCGCCTCCATCTCCAAAGTGTTGGGATTAGAGGCATGTGCCACCACGCCCAGCCAGTTTTCCAATACTTATTTTTTCACTCATATACCAGGGGTGCCAAATATATATATATACACATTTTAAGAGACGTTTGCCATAATAAAAAGAGTCTGGATGCTGATGGTGACCACTTTGAGGACCTCTTGTAATAGTAGAAGTCAAACGTGATTTCTATTCATATTATTGGGTATTATAATTTTTTTTTTTTTTGAGTTGGAGTCTCACTCTGTTGCCCAGACTGGAGTGCAGTGGCCGCTCCCGACCACCGCAGCCTCGACCTGCTGGGCTCCAGCGATCCTTCTGACTCAGCCTTCCAAGTAGCTGGAACTACAGGTACGCGCTACCATGCCTGGCTCATTTTTGATTTTATTGTAGAGATGAGGTCTCGCCAAGTTGCGGGTCTTGAACCCGCGGGCTCAGGCAATCCACTCACCTCAGCCTTCCAAAGGCGCGGGATTACAGGCTGAACCACCAAGCCCGGCTAGGGTATTACAATTTTAATATAGTATTTCCTGTCTTAAAATGTGTATGCTTTTTTGGCACTCTCTGTATATGTCAAAAATTCATCCATTTGGTTGTTTATAGCAAACATTTATTTACATTCATAGCATTGTAACTATCCATTGGGTTGACATGCCAAAAATTTTTTTCTGGTTATCTAAGAAGGATCTTTAAGTCATTTCCAGGTTTTGTTTCTGTTCTTACATAACACTGCTGTTTTGAACAATTTTGTCTCAAGATGTATACGTGCAAGCAATTTTTTTTTTTTTTGAGTTGGAGTCTCTCATTCTATCACCCAGGCTGGAGTGCAGAGTCACGCTCACAGCCACTGCCGCCTCTAGCTGCTTGGCTCAGGTGATCCTTCCACCTCAGCCTTCCAAGTAGCTGGAACAACAGGCACACGCCACCACGCCTGGATGATTTTTTGATTTACTGTAGAGATAAGGTCTTGTCAAGTTGCCCTGGTTGGTCTTGAACCCATGAACTCA